ATCAACCTTTCCAGAATTTGTTAATACTTATTGCATATCTTACTTTAAATAGTAAAAAAATGCATCCAAAGTGCATTAATACTGCCTCAAGATTGTCAATATTAGACGGTATTGAGCAAGTGTGCCAATATCTAATATCAACCGACTTCCTACTATGCCAAAAAATCCATATAACGGTAACTTTCGGACATTTTGCACCTGCACTCTGGCAACGGCAGACCGTCTGCACGTGAAATTTTGTTACGCCTTAGCAATGAGTTACCGTATGACTGCCGAGCGGGTACAGCTAAAAAAAACGAATAATGGATTTTGATAAGATTAAGATAAAGGGCAGCAGATGCAATAAAAAGGTTATGTTCCTTATAACCTTTTACCTCATAAAGGCGTGTTTTGAAGGCTTTACACCCCCACCCCTTTTGAGGCCTCAAATAGTGTAAAACATGCGCTATTTAGGCCCCAAACACTGTTTTTTCGTTTGAGAAATGTTGTTCAAAAGAGTGATCACTTTTTCGGCGCCACCCCCATTAAAAAGGTACATCAAGGGGGTTACACAGGGGGGATGTGCCCCCTTCTGTTTGGGGGTTTGAAGTGGGGCAGTAGCCCCTCTAATCGTCGAGAAGACTTGGGACTTGTGGGGGGCTTAATGGCCTTAGGTCGATTTAAAGGTACCGTGTAATCAACGCCGAAAACCTTAGACTTTATCTCAATCAATTGAGAAGTTGGTGCACATTGAAATCAGTTTTGATGGGAAAAAACAACGCAAAATAGAGATTTTTGGCAATTTTGAGATGCCCCCCGTTGCCATGGTAACTGGAAATTTAAAATTGAGCATGCTATTCCACAGGCTATGGTCCAGCTAACATTTGTGCCCAGTTTGATCAGTATTGCAGCATTTTTTATAGTTTCATAGCAGTTTAAACTTGTAACAAGAGGCTTAATTATAATTCAATAAAAACAGCCATTTTTCGCATTATGCTCATGCAGTAAAAGGTTAAGACGATACCGGCATGCTTGGACGGCATAAGCCCTCGGGCCAATATTTTATGATGTGCGTCGATATGTTTCTTAAGGCAAACTTGCCCTGTAAAAACCTATTATTAATGTTTATCTACATATGTTTTTTTTTATTCTTGTCCTTTTCAGAGATGGGTCTCCTTGATCAAAGTTTCTTGAGACATGTATTGAAAGTTTTTTATCGTCAATTTTGATGATTCTACCCTGCTTCCGACCCTGCACACACTTTATTTCATCCATAGTGTGATTTTCAATCAAATGGAAAATTAAATCTCTGTATTTGCCCGTAGGAAAAGAACAGTATTAACACTGAAAATGCATTGTGAATCTGAAATATTTGAATAAATATCATATAAACAGTACATTATCAGAAAAATGAAATTGAATCGATAAACAGACGTGAAAATTAGACAAAAATATCGATTTTCCATACTAATGTGCTCATTCTGTTTTGCAATACTCTGTACACTAAAGTTGGGCTATTTTGCAATACTCTGTACACTTAAAATCAATACTCGGTACACTTTCTTGTATCTTTTTTGGCCTGTATCTTTTTGTACTTTCACACTTTTTGCCTGAAATTTGGACAAGGCATACTTGGATTGTGAATAAGAAAATTGCTCGATTCAATTTTTTTTATATTGGTAATATAATAATTTCTAACGATTCTACAGTATCGCGGTCAATATTTTCTAGTGAGCAGCGGATCGTTTAGGGGTAGTTTAATCAATTTTACAAATACCTGTAATACTTTTACGTCTTTTAGAGCTACAAAAATACCTCTAGATATATAAAACCCGTTGAGATAAATGAAATAGCCATTAGTTTGGAAAATATCGTCGCTGAACTTACCTTCGTTCCCCGTTCAAAGTCGCGAAATGGGATGAAAGTCCTCATAATATCGAGCAATATCCGGGGTACGGTATACCGCAGTGATGTTGCTGGGGTTCTTACCGGTAGGGGACTTATGGATTGCTTGCAATACTATGATAATTGCTTGTTTTTCTAGTATTTCGTGATCGTACAGGACAATGTCGTGACCTATGCTCCATAACGCACGGAATCCGGGATTTTTATCAATCATATAGGGATACGAATAACTGCTTTTGTTTTTATATTTGTAGTAATTCATGGCACTAAAAATTACAATTGATTAATTATTTCATATTATGTGATGACCGATTTATCGATTTAACCTTAAGCTTGAAATGTGATAGGGGCTACTTAATGACAAAAATTGATAAACGATCCCGGGCATACCGGATACCGGGATTTTTTCGGATCACTGTTGTGACACATGACCGCGTTAAATGAATTATCTTCTCTTATTTATATTGGCTACTACACTAGTAACATAGTAGATAATGGAAAAGAAAACCTGATATATTAACGCTTTAGTCAATATTCTTTCTTGAATTAAGGTGTCAGTAATGATGGATTTCTACAATAAACCTTACTAGATCAGTATTTACCATTTACTTGAAATTTTATTTCATTTTTTTCATTTTACCAACTGGAGGTCAGTGGCTTTAAAATGAAAAATACTTTTAAGATCTATTCCTGAAGGTGAGCGATATAGGGTCATCAGATGATGGCCGTCTTGTTTTTTGGTTTTTATTTGCTTTTTATGCCACCGCAGCATCTGCGATGCGGTGGCATATAGCGATTCACCTGTGTGTATGTATGTATGTATGTATGTTTGTGTGTTATATAGATTACATAGAGAACTTCAAATATCTTCTTGTGAAAAACCACTAGTCCAATTTCAACCAAACTTGGCAGGATTGATCCTTGGGTGAAGGGCTTCCAAAGTTGTTCAAAGAATTTCATACCATGCAGAAATCTGGTTGCCATGGCAACCAAAAGGAATTATAAGAAGAAATTTTAAAATCTTCTTGTAAAGACCCAAAAGGCCTAGAGCTTAGATATTTTGCATAAGGCATTGTCTGGTAGACCTCTACAAAGATTGTTCAAATTATAGCCCTGGGGTCAGAATCGGCCCCGCCCCGGGGGTCATTGATTTTCACTATATGTACATGTAGTAAAAACTTAAAATACCTTCTTGTAAAGACCCAAAAGGCCTAGAGCTTAGATATTTTGCATAAGGCATTGTCTGGTAGACCCTTACCAAGATTGATCAAATTATAGCCCTGGGGTCAAAATCGGCCCGCCCCGGGTGTCATTGATTTTCACTATATGTATATAGTAAAAACTAAAAAAATTTCTTCTAGCAATTGACAAATGCTAGAGGTTAGATATTTTGCATGAAACATTGTGTAGTGAACCTCTAGCAAGATTGTTCAAATTATAGCCCTGGGGTCAAAATTGCCCCCGCCCCGGGGGTCATGGCTTTTCAATATACACAATAGTTATAAATCAAAAAATCTTATTGTCTGAAGGTACAAGGCTTAGAGCTTTAATATTTAACTATCATCTATAGGTACGCTACCAAAGTTGTTCAAATTTTGCCTCTAGTGTCAAAATTAGCCCCGCCCCAGGGGCCATAGGTTTTCCTTATATGTATATAGTAAAAACTTAAAAAATCATCTTCTCTAAATTTACAAAGGCTACAGTTAAGATATTTTGCATGAAACATTGTGTAGTGAACCTCTAGCAAGATTGTACAAATTAAAATAATAGCTCTGGGGTCAAAATTGGCCCCACCCCCAGGGGTCATTGATTTTCACTATGTACATATAGTAAAAAATTAAAAAATCTTCTTCTCTGAAGGTACAAGGCTTAGAGCTTTGATATTTAATATAAAATATCATCTATGGGTCCTCTACTAAAGTTGTTTTAATTATGCCCCTAATGTTAAAATTGCCTTGCCCTAGAGGCGATAGTTTTCCTTATATGTACAAAGTAAAAACTTGAAAATCTTCCTCTCTGAATTGACAAAGGCTAGAGGGTAAATATATGGCATGAGACTTTGCAAAGTGAACCTCTACCAAGATTGTTCAAATTATAGTCCTGGAGTCAAAATTGGTTCCGCCCTTAGATTTTGATGATGTGACCTACTTTCTTGTCCTTTGATGTACAGCTATGAAATTTGAACCATGTGCACAGATTAAGATGTAAAGTGAACTTTGATACGAGCTGACCTAGATTTTGAGTGTCTTACTATGTTGTCCTTTGATGTAGTCATGAAATTTAGGCTGTGTGAAATATGACCTTCACCACCAAATTCACTAGACTCAAGTGCATTGATATAATCCTAGTCTGATCTTTTACTGGATTAACAATAGATTTAACCACTATAATCTTATAATAAGAATTAAATAGGTCAGGGATCTTTGCATTATGACAATCTTCAATTGTATAGAAACAAAAAAAATCTGTTCCTACACTACTATTTAGTGTTGTATTAATGCGGTGGCATAGCATTTTTCTCAAATGCAATCTTGTTTTTCTTCTGTAATGTGGATATACATGTATATGGAAAGGATTCATACTTTGACAAAACTAATGTGACAAGACAGTCCTATTAAAATTATAAAAAGGAAACGTTAAGATTTGTTAAAACTTTTCTTTGTTTGCTTTAAGAAAAAGTAATAAGTCGAGCGTTGCCCCGCCCGGCACATTCAACTCAAAGTTGACATATAGATACATCTTAGAAATAGGCAGGCCAAGTTTGAATTTGGTCATGGTTTGATGATTTTGGACAAAGTTATCTACCTCTCTTGAATGTTGGAAAGAAAATGAAATGGTATTTAAGCAGAAAATACAAGTCAAGTTTGAATTTGGTTTTAAACCGATGATTTTTGACAGAGTTATCCTTCTTGAGTTAAGAAATTTTCAGTTTCTGCTCCCACTTTTGTAGGAATGTATGTCTGAGATTGACATTTCATGAGCTCACTCACTCACGGTTATCTTGTTTTTATATGCTTTGTATTATCTGTTTGAAATAATGACAAAAACCTGATTTTAAATTTAAAAAAAAAAAACAAAAAACAAAACTTCTTATATGTATTTTGTTTTGTTTGCAGATTATACATGGATCTTACACAATGAAAGCACCTATACAGATTCACAGGTTTAGATCATTGCAAATGTTAGAAATTAAAAGAGTGCCTATACATATGGTAGAAGGATTGTCTAAATTGAGGGGTCAGCTGAAAGAAATAACTGTGTCAAAAAGTTTGCAAACATTAAAGGTATTTTTTAACTCACCTGATAATATCCTCAAGGTGAGCTTTTAGTTTTTGTGATGGCCCATTGTCCGTCGTCCATCGTCTGTCCATGCTTGCATCAACAATTTCTTTAACCCCTTATTTCATATGGACGTCTTTTCATGCCTTTCCACCCCCCTTTTTAGGCCGCAAAAAGTGAAAAAATACCCTATTTAGACACAAAACACTTGTTTTTGTTTGAGAAATGGTGTTAAAAAACGTGATCACTTTTTCGGCACCATCATCTATCAAATAGATACATCAAGGGGGTGCCAGAAGGGGGATGTGCCCCCTTCTGCTTGGGGATTTGATGGGGGAAAGCAGCAGACCCCCTCCTCTCTTTGGACTTGTAAGAGGCTAAAATGGCCTCAGGTCGACCTTAAAGTAACGTGTAACCAACGCTGAAAAGCCTTTGACTCTATCTCAATCCGTTGAGAAGTTGCAGCACTTTAAAATTAGTTTTGATGGAAAAGTCGACACAAAGTAGTGATTTTAGCAATTTTGAGATGTCCCCTTGTTGCCATGGTAACAGGAAATTTAAGATTGAGTATGCCGTTACAAAGACTATGGTCCAGTCAACATTTGTGCCAAATTTGAACAGTATTGAAGCCTTTTAATGCTCCACAAGGTTGAGCATATAGTTGCTGCTTTGTCTGTCCGTCTGCTTTTCTTGTCGGGGACATAACTCCTTAAACAACAACAGGTATCAACATGAAACTTTGTATGAAAATTCTGTATAAGTGGTTAATTTTGCGACATGGAAATATTTGCTATTTTTGCGAATAGAAAATATTGGCAAATATTTCATTACGCAAAATTTATTCCTTTTTATGAAAACTTTTTTTGATCATTTGAAAACATGTGTCCATACAGCATTTTATATGAACTAGTTACTGAGATAAGTTTAGCATTTTATTGTGTCGCCTCTACGGAGTAGTGGCGACATATAGGGATCACTTCTCCGTAGTCCGTCTGTCCGTCCGTCCGTCCGTCTGTCTGTCACAAAATTTGTCCCAACATGAAATTGGCCATCATGAGGCGACACATGTGATTACTGATCGCTCTTGTATGAACTAGTTACTGAGATAAGTTTTTCTCATTGCTTGTTATGCCCCCGAAGGGTGGCATATTACAATGGAACCGTCCATCTGTCTGTAAGTCCATTTAAGTGGCATGTTCGTCCGTCCCGCTTTATACATATAGACATTGGTGGTCGTGTCTGCTCTGAAACTTCAGTATGCATGAAAGGATTTTAATTTTTCTTTCATATATGAAATAACCATAGATGTATGGTGTGTCGCAAACAAGACTTGGGTTCCTACGACTAAGGTCAAGGTCACTGTGGGGGTTCAAACTTTGTCATTTTTTATTGTCCCCCGCCTTTTCGAAGAAAAAAGGGGGATATAGAAATAGGCTGGTGCATCCGTCTGTCCGTACGAACCCAGAGGTACTTGTGTGACTTGGAGAACACCTACCTCCAAGGTCAAGATCACACTTGGAGGTCAAAGATTAACATAGTCTGTTACAGGGTATATTTTGTGTCCGGTCCATAACTTTTTCATAGATCAAAGGATTTTGTAAATACTTGCCACAAATAGTCACTATAATAAGATGATGTGTCATGCACAACACCTGCATCCCTACCTTCAAGTTCAAGGTCACACTGAGAGGTCAAAAGTTAACATAGTCTGTTTTAGGGTATATTTTGTGTCCGATATAGAACTTCTTCGGGATTTTGAAATAACTAGGCAAAAATACTCACAATAATAATACAATATGTCAAGTACAACACCTGCTCCCCTACCTCCAAGGTCAAGGTCACACTAATAGGTCAAAGGTTAATAGATTCTGTATTTTGGTATATTTTGTGTCCTGTCCATAACTTCTTCATAGATCAAGGGATTTTGAAAATACTTTGCACAAATAGTCACAATGATTAGATGATATGTCATGCGTAACACATGTGTCCCTACCTCCAAGGTCAAGGTCACACGTAGAGGTCAAAGACTTACATAGTCTGTTATATGGTATATTTTGTGTTCAGTCCATAACTTTTTCATAGATGAAGGGATTTTAAAAATACTTTGCACAAATAATCACAATAATAAGACAATATGTCAGGCGCAAAACATGGGTCCCTACCTCCAAGGTCACACTTAGAGGTCAAAGATTAACAAAGTCTGTTATAGGGTATATTTTGTGTCTGATCTATAACTTCTTCATAGTTCAAGGGATTTTGAAAATACTTGGCACAAATAGTTACAATAATAAGATGATATGTCATGCACAACACCTGCACCCCTACCTCCAAGATCAAGGTCACACTTAGAGGTGATAGATTTTAAAATTCCGTGTTTCATTTTATTTCTTTAATAAGTTTATTGTTGCATTTGCAGATCTAGCATTGATCATAATTTTGGACTGAAAGTCCTGAGATCTATATCTCAATCTTTTGAAATAGCACAGTTTTATGCTTTATATAAAACTTCCCTGAGGCGTGGGACGTTGGTAACTTTTACAAATTCTTGTGTTATATAAATATAGAAGGTGGTGGTTGTGTCTGCTCTGAAACTTCAGTATGCATGGAAGGATTGTAATTTTTCTTTCACATATGAAATAACCATAGATGTATGGTGTGTCACAAACAAGACTGGGGTTTTTACCACTAAGGTCAAGGTCACTGTGGAGGTTCAAACTTTGTCATTTTTATATTATATAAATATAGATGGTGGTGGTCGTGTCCGCTCTGAAACTTCAGTATGCATGAAAGGATTTTAATTTTCTTTTACATATGAAATAACCATAGATATATGGTGTGTAGCGAACAAGACTCGAGTTTCTACGAGTAAGGTCAAGGTCACTGTGGAGGTTCAAACTTTGTCATTTTTTATATTATATAAATATAGAAGGTGGTGGTCGTGTCCGCTCTGAAACTTCAGTATGCATGGAAGGATTGTAATTTTCTTTCACATATGAAATAACCATAGATGTATGGTGTGTCGCAAACAAGACCTTGGTTTCTTTGACTAAGGTTAAGGTCACTCTGAGGGTTCAAATCTTGTCATTTTAAATTTTTATATTACATAAATAAAGAAGGTGGTGGTAAAGTCCGCTCTGAACTTCGGTATGCATGAAAGGATTTTAATTTTTCTTTCACATATGAATTAAACATAGATGTATGGTGTGTTGTGAACAACACTCGGGTTTCTACAACTAAGGTCAAGGTCACTGTGGGGGTTTAAACTTTGTCATTTTTTATGTTATATATAGAAGGTGGTGGTCCTGTTCGCTCTGAAACTTCAGTATTCATGAAAGGATTTTAATTTTTCTTTCACATATTAAATAACCATAGATATATGGTGTGTCTCACACAAGACTTGGGTTTCTACAACTAAGGTCAAGGTCACTATGGAGGTTCAAACTTTGTCATTTGTTATGTTATATAGATATAGATGGTGGTGGTCGTGTCCGCTCTGAAACTTCAGTATGCATGAAAGGATTTTAATTTTTCTTTCATATATGAAATAACCATAGATGTATGGTGTGTCGCGAACAAGACTCTGGTTTCTATGACTTAGGTCAAGGCCACTGTGGGGGTTCAAACTTTGTCAATTTTGATGTTAATATACATATAGGCAGTGATGGTCGTGTCTGCTCTGAAACTAATATGCATGAAAGGATTAGATTTTTTATTTCACATTTGAAATTATCATAAATGTATGATGTGTTGCCCTTTAAGACCTGTGTTCCTACGCCTTAGTTCAAGGTCACTGCTGGGGATTAAACTTTTTCAATATTTATGTTATATACATATAAATTGTGGTTGTTGTGTCCGCTCTGTAACATACATATACATGAAAGTTTCAATTTTTATTTAAAAATATAAAGTCACCATAGATGGACAAGACCCAGGTTTCTTTGTCTAATTTAAAGTTCACTGCTGGGGTTCGAACTTTGTCAATTTTTACCACCACACTTAACATGTAATAGGTGGTTTATAACTAAAATTCTTCGGGGGCATTTGTCACGTTTTGTGACAGCTCTTGTTTGTTTAAGTTTAATCTTAACAAATCACAAATGTTTTAATGAAACAATATGTGTTAACAACACAACAGGTTATTCATACAACAAAAGAATGCTTCAAAATATGACAAAGAAATGTGTTATCAGGTGCTTTATCAAACTAACAATGTATGTTTCAAACAATAGTATAAGTAATTAAGGTATTAAACAATTTAATAGAACGGTAACAATAACGGCATATTCTTAACATGTATCTCTTTAATTAATGATCACAAAAACAGTATTAAATTCAAAAAATCATATTTTTCGCAAATATTTACGCACGCAAAAAGTCCACTTTTTGACATTCGCAAAACTATAAAAAATAGATATCAACATAAAACTGTGTAGGTAGATAGATCTCATTCAGGGTAGATGTGCAGTTCAAAAGAACCGTAACTCTGGCTTGTCTAATTTTGGAGTTATTACCCTTTATTCATTTTGTGGGTGTCTATCCGTCGTCCGTAATCTTTTACTTTAAAGCAGCACGCCTCCAGATTCCTGCTAATGTTCATTAAAATTTTGAAAATGTATTCAAAAGTAAAATATTGTTAAGCTGACAGAGAAAATAATATGCACATTTAAAACGGCACTTACAACCAATGTTAATTACAAAAAAGAGGTCATAATATGCAAAATTAACCCTTTCTGCGTTAGTAACGCAGTAGAAATATGGTGAAAATTACTGAAAAATTGGCCATCAATCGCAAATAACATGGAAATTATCACTTTTATCTTTAGTCTTTTTACTTTTCATAAAACCTCAATACATTTTTCTCAAGTTTTATTTTTTTGAAATATTTTGGCTCATCTGGAGGCATGCATCTTTAACCGACATCTCCTCAAACAGCTAAGCTAATTTCATCCAAATTTCACAGGAATGTTCCTTTGGTGGTCTTCAAAGAATTTTATTCCATGCAAAA